AAATTTGGGGTTACGAGGGAAAGGTTTGTCAAAAAACATAGGGGCTACCTGGGAAGGGAGGGAAAGGGAAATATTCAAAGGTAAGCTTTTTTCTTATTTTTTGGGCAAGACTAAAATGGTTTAAATTTAAACCTTTTGCTTACTTTTTGTGTCCATGGTAAATGGTTCATGATTGGTTACAAACATGATACAGTACCAAAAATGAAACCAAATTTTAACCTTGAAAATGAGTATTTTGAACTTGTGTAATTACTTTACACTTCATCGCTTGAAAAACGTTTTGTTCTAAGTGCCAATTTGTTGTTTTTGAGAAAAAAGCATGTAAAGATTTAGTATTGCATAACTTTTTTATTTATTGTCGGATTTTGAAAATTTAAAAACTACTAAACGTGGTGTCAGGAGAACAACTCAATATCGTTAAAGATATGTCGATTTTAATATTTCCTTGCTTAAAAACCTTTTATCTTTAAAAGGCTACCAAAAAATGCTCTCGGCTAATTATTCCTTGATTACTTGACTTTGACACTACACTTTTTTCTAAGACCATATGTATCTAACTACATGAACTATGACATTCGAAATCTTATTTAAATCCTTAAATCCATTACATTATTAAATGACATTTAAACAAATAATTTAAATAAATAAAGATAAAATACCCACATAAATTTTGTAGACATTTTATCTATTTTTATAACTTTGGTCACATTTAAAGTGATTCCATGTCTGGAAAAAGAAAGTTATAGCCGCAAACGGGAAAAGAAAACTTTCAAATTTGAATGCTGGGAAAATATTTCCAGATTTTTTTTATCAAAATTCAAAAGATGGTCAAATTCAAATTCCTTCCAAAAGTATGATATAGTAGTGCGCTTACACGTTCTGTGTGTTGGTGAGAAGTTCTTATAATTGAATGTTTGTAAAATAATGTTTCTATAACTTAAATAGGCAATGAAAACATATCTGCTAGAAAAGACCTTAAAGGTGGAGCAGGCATGACTTATATTTGAAACATGTCATATTTAAAGATTGTTCGTGTACAAAAACATTACAAACATAATGCTTTATAAATATTCATTCAGAAATTCAAAGTCAAATTACAAAATAAACAAAATATACGTATAAGAATATTTTTCTTCCTTATGTCTTTGGTATAAAATGTGTTTACTTTAAAGCAATCTATATCTCATCTATTGGTTATATAACATTAATGCATTCGACAACATATATTATATGTAAACGTCTAATATCTATAAATTTTCTTAAAGGCCTTTTTTGCCCCAGAAATGCTTTTATCTTAATCTCTCAAAAACCTGATATTTTGAGTTATGTTATAGTTTCCAAAATATTCCACATTGGTCCGTAACCTAAACCATCTTAATATGCTTTTGTTTCATATTGGCAATGAATACAGTAAAATTTTTTAACTCATATATGTCTGTTATAAAGATAAATAATTGGTTTCTGAGACAGAATGTACTTTACGTTAAAGAAACTTTAGAACATATAACAAATTTTCTTTTTTACTTATTTGTTTGATGAAATTGTATGATCACAGTTGTTTCTATCCGAAAATACACATCTGCAATTACTTTCAAATCATGATCAGTTTTGGTTGTTGTTTAATCACATGCAGTAAATTTACAGGACTTAATACTAAAATGTCAATGATTGGAGGGAATAAATAAATACATAATATCACTCAATACTTATACATGTATTTAGCATTAATATATGTAATAAACAACAAACCATCTGACTCAAAATGTTTCGTACAACATGGCGGGTGTCCTCCTATCACGTGATTTGATGCTATGTTTTGATACGATAATGTTGGATTTAGAACAGTATGTTGTATATACCCCACAGGTCACGTGACATTTATCGATAATATGATTAGTCCAGTAAGTTAGAACAGTCTACTTATCAAGACATACTAAATTTGTGGAGATAGAACAGGATGGTTTTGTTGTAATTTATTTATGAAGCTCTGAAGCACTAATATAACATGCCAAGGAGATAGAACAGTCCATTACGGACAAAATTGTGTATTTAACTTGTTTTTGGAAAATTTGGAGATAGAACATTACAGTTTTCAAGCGACGACTTGTCTTTTTAACTGCCGGATCATGATTTGTTTTACAACACCTAAAATGAATGTGGTTTAATTTTGATTTATTTACCATATACATTCTTGTTTCGGCATTCTTGTGATTAAAATGTTTTGATGAAACAAGACAGCAGTAGATAAAAATTTAAAATACCGCACGTTTGTAACCTTGCTTTTCAGTGGATAATTGTGTTGTTTACAATGTATATAGTTTTATATACGGCTGTCAGTTTATAAGGAAATCACATTTTTTTTCGAAAATAAAGGAAGTTTGCTGTATTATAGATTCATCATAAAGTTTCTTGATATGTTATATGGCCATATATAAATGCTTGTTTGCAATATTTCCCTCGCCTAGCTGCTAGGGTTATATTTACAAACAACCGTTTATATTGGGCCATATAACCTGTCAAAAATCTTTATAACTAACAATATGTATGGTAGCCAAGTTGATGATAAGGGTATATGATAAAAAGTTTTGACACCGGTAAGAATGAATTGTGAACCCTGTAAAGATTTGGAAAAGTTAGTGTAAAATTACAAGCTAAATCTATGATAATGATTCGTGTTACGTAAGGTTATGCTTTATTTTAAAACTTTTTTTACAGATGGGAGATTGCTCTGAAGCAGATATGGACAAATGGTGTAAGTACATCCATACCAAGGACAGTACCGATAGATTGCGAACACGTGCCATACTGTGTCACATCTACCATCATGCCCTGCATGATCGCTGGTTCCAGGCACGTGATCTCATGCTCATGTCACATCTCCAGGATACTATTCAACATTTAGATGTTCCTATACAGGTACTTTGTCACATTATATCTTGATTTTGATGTTGTTTTATGGTGGTGTTGAAATTAACTTTCATTGAATTTAAGGTTTTGAATTTACTGGCCCGAATTCTAGTTTTGAATTTATTCTACAATGTATTTAACTACATTTTCTTAAAATTTACACTGGCCCGAACTAATTTTCACTGGCCATGGGCCACCGGGCCAGTGCTAAATTCGATGACTGAATTAAATTCTTAAGTTACATGCAATATAGAGGTTATTGAATGGATATCGAGTATACTTCCCATTATAAATTTACGGAACAAGTGGGATAGAATAATAGGATACGAATCTCTGTGTTGATTAATATAGTTTTGAAAGTATTATATTTATCACATACATGTATAAGATTAATATAAGTAAATTAAAGTAATTTGAACAGTAAAGTTACTTTTTAACGTTAATGCATTTAAATTATGTGTAATTTTACATAATGATTGTAAAGGGCAAATGATGTTAGTCCTACACAGTTATTACGCTAGTGTAATATTGTTTTTATTAGCTCACCTGTCACAAAGTGACATGGTGAGCTTTTGTGATCGCTTTTCGTCCAGCGTGCATCCGTTCAGAGTTCTTTAAATTTTACTTTAAACAACATCTCAACAGAAACGGCTAAGCCTATTTCATCCAAACTTTACAGGAATGTAACTTTGGTGGTCACCTTTAAAAATTGTTCAAAGAATTTAATTCCATGTAGAACTGTGGTTGCAATGGCAACCAAAAGAAAAAACTTAAAAAAATCTTATTTAAAAAAACACAAAGAGCTAGAGCTTAGAAATTTGCATAAAACATTTTTAGTTAGTCTGTTTCAAGTTTGTTCAAATAAAAGCCCTGGGGTCAAGACTGGCCCCGCCCCAGGGAGATAATGTTTTCTTAATATGTAAATATATATAACAAACGTGGAAGCACTATGAAAATAGAAGGTGACTTTGAACAGAATTTGATTTAGTATCAACATTTTGTTCTTCTATGAAAATTAACACTTATTTTTTTTAAGAAATACAGCATTTTCATTGGATGACAAATAAAGTTGGACACTAATAACATTCTACATAAATTCAAATACTTGATACAACATTTGTTGATCTTTTTATGATTAATCATTCTTAAAAATTATAGATACGTGTTTCTACAATTTGTATTGAAATATTATATTTTTATAATATGCATCAGAGATCTATAAGAAAACAAAACTGTCCTCTGGATTATTTAGGCATCCAGTCAAAACTGGTACAAACAGCAACAGGTAACCCATTCTCCTGTAATTACGCATATTCTGGAGTTTATCCATTCCCTACTGCAGTATAGCTTTTTTCAAGTTATCTTCTGTTCTCTTCTTACCGAGTGGATACACATTTCTTTTCTACACAGATACGCATTTCTACTACCGTAAATTTAATCCAATAAAACAAACTAACAAAATATACAATTACTTAATATTTAAAATGATTATCAGTAACTGAAAAAAAGTGTTGCTATCTTAAGATATGCTGTAAGTGACAGGTGTACAACTTCAAATTCTTGGTAGATCAATGGCATGTCGTTGCTGATATCAGCATCATTGTGAATTCTAGAATAAAGCGTTCTCTGATCCTAATTTTCTGTTAATTTTCCTGCTGATTTCATGATATTATTGATATGTTGATGTCAAGGTCTCAGAATATTTTATTTCATAAACAATAACATTTTCATTTTCACAATTTGATCTTAATACATTCTCAGTAAAAGGGATATGGAATATAATTAACAGCACAAAGAAGCTAGATGATAACTTTTATTTGATAATAAAACAAAACGAAATAAGACTCCTATAGAAATAATGAATACATAATGAACAAAGCTGCTCAAACTCTTTAAAAGTATCGAGTATCGGTATCGATAAAATACCGTATCGTTTCCAAAGTATCGGTATTGTATCATAACAAAATTATTGTTTCGTTCTTAACGATATCCAACCCTACCTGTGATAGCTCTTATTTTTAGATACAGTCACTTTACAATATTGAATGTATAAAAAAATTGTTCTCCCAACTGTAAATTTCAAACATCTACACCTTACATATTTTGCATGTGACATTTTATGTATTCATATAAAAAAGATATGAAAAAAATGTCCTATCAAAATTAACCCTGCTCAAGTGGTCATTTATTCTGCATTTATTCTACATTGTCTCATAGGAACACACTTGCAACATAGATATTATTAACAAAGCCTTTCTAAAATATTAGTGAGTGCTTGTTATCTTGAATGATGGTGATCGTGAATGCTGCTGGTGATCTTGAATACTGGTGATCTTGAATACTAGTGATCTTGAATTCTACTGATGATCTTGAATTCTACTGGTGGTCTGGAATGTTATTGGTGATCTTGATAAAGGTTGCTTGATCTGATGTTCTTAATGGTAGTATCTTGTCTATCCTTGACTGCATCAGTTGTCATTTCTTGGTTCTACACCATTTTATACACTTTTATATCATTGTACCTCACTTTAGATTTACTTCTGTATGTACTTAAATAAAATGTACTTGTCTCAGCACACCAACATATAGCTTGAGGGAGATCCTTCACGTCTTTCAGTATAGTTGTCCTGTCTTTACAATCACCACTAACTCTATATATACAATTATCCCAGGCATCGCTCACAAAGAAGGACCCATCATCTAAAAGTGAAATACCCATTGGACCATAAATATCTACAGTCCTTCCTATCATTTCTCCCTGCCAATTAAACCATTTAACTTTATTTTTAATTTCGTCAGATACATAGATTGAATGACTGTTTGTGATGACATACCCAGGGTCACTGAAAATACTGTCACCATTGGAATCTTTCTCAACTGTAATTTTACTATTACCTTTTAAGTCCATGATTTGGAGTTTGACAGGCAATATAAATGTAACTGCAAATTTCCCCTGATGATGGCTTATTCCATAGCAGTATCCATCTACTTTCAGTTTGTTTTTCAATGAGAGAGAGTTTGAGGAGAAGGAAATGAACTGTATTGTGCCTGGTAATGTAACAGCAAGTGTATCTCTGGTCACTATTGTGACATCCCTGGGTTTTGATTCAATCTGTAGTTGTTTGATTTCTTCACTGTTTATGTCTATCATTTTAATTGATTTATTATCATAATCTGCTACAAATAATTGGTTTTGAGGAGAGATAGTTATACCAGTTATATGGCACTCCTTTGTATCTGAGGATGTTTTAACATTGATGTTTCTAGAGGTAGTCATTTTCATTGGTACTGCAGCCTTATTCTTTGGTTGAGCTGGTTGCTTTATTTCCTTTTTTCTTAACGCTCCTAACGATTTCTCATTCTGAAGGAGTTTTTTGATAGCATGATTTGGTTCAAAATTGTATTCATCAACATCATTGGTTGTTGGTAGTTGTTTTGCTATATTTTCATTGTGTAATATCTGTTGCTGAGCTGATTTCAATTCAGTAAACAGTTGGTCAGTTTTCTTGTTGGTGTTGAGATGTTTTAGAGTATCAGCTGATGCTTGGAGTGATCTGTTGATGTTATCACATGCTGTTTCTGTTTTTTTCAACATTTTGTTGTTGTCATGATGAATTGTTGTTGCAGTATCTTTAACCTCCTTTTCTAGTTCATCTAATCTCTTGTTTATATCTGTCCTGAAGTTTTCTATCTCTGCTATAGCATCTTTCAGAGAAGTTGCTGATTTGGCAACTCTTTGTTTCATATCTTTTGTAATCTGGCAGCATTTCTCTGTTAATTTGTGAATATCGTTAAGAGTTTCTTTGAACTCAGTGCTGTTTAAAATTTCTCCTTATATATCAGGTATGTAATCTACATTGCAGGATGTCGTTGGGTTTTCCCAAGGGTTCAAAACTTACACTCCCCTTTATGGGGATTTTTTGGTATGACAGTAAAAACTTGAACACTTTTTTTGGTATTTTTGGGAAAGGTTTGGGTTTAAATCCCCCCTAAGGGGTTTTCCCCCTGAAGTATTTTTAAGGGATTTCCCTGAGGTTTTTTTTGGGGTGGCATGTTTTCTTTAATCTAAAAGAATGGTGAGGGTTTAGTGGTTTTGGTCCCTGTGAGTCTTATACCCAATTTTTCACAAAAATGTACCTCACAATCGACACGGGTTAAAAGGCAGGTAGTTTTGGGGTTCATCTCTGTCACTTTGATTACAGAATATTTTAAAAATCTTCACCCACCACCTTGAGATAGGGGTAGATGAGATTTTTATATAATTTTTTAAACCTATACGCCAAAATTTTCCCCTTAAAATACAAAATAATAGATACGTGAAGTGGCTTTTGTTCATAACAAAAAATAAGAAACTTGAAAGAAAATAATTTTCTTTCTTATTCTTGCTATAAAATTCATTTCAGTTTCCAATGGACATTTGACATTTTATTGGTTTTATTAAATATGAACAAATACTTTTCCAACATTAATTTCAAAATTTTCAGCACTTTTTCCCCTTGAACTTTAAAATTTTGTGCATTACTGAATATTTTTTAAACTAAGGATGTGAAATTCCTATAAAAACGAACCATTTTTATACCAAAATCTGCTGAATTTCTCAGCCCCAGGGCTAGCCTCCTTTTTTTGAACTGGGCCATTATTAAAGTTGGATTTTTCAAATTTTTTAAAAAATCCTTTTAGCCCAGTTGAAAAACCCTTTTCACTTTAAGCTCTGGGTGAAATTTTTCCCCTTTTTAAAGGGGGTCTGTGACTTTAAAAAATAGACAATCGCCCTTTTACAAAACCAAACCCAACAAAAAATTAAAAAAACCAGTTTTATTGTGGGTGGGGACAGGGGAAATTTTCTCTTAAGGTTATTTTTATGTTAAATCGTTTTTTGATTTAAAATATTAAAATATTTTTAGTAATCTTTTTTTGAAAAATTTTAAACATTAAATTTCGAGGGAAAATTACTCACCAGTGATTTATACTCCTCATTAGGATTTTGAAAAATATTGGCTTCTTAAGTTATTGATCCGACAAGTCAGTGCCCTTCTACTCAGTGGTATGTAAACTTGTAGTAAATATAAATTTATAAAATATCACGTTACACCCACAATAGAGATTGAATATACCGTACAATTCCTTATAAAATCCCCTTCCCTAATAAAAGCCCCCCCCCCCCAGGCATTTTGATATGGAAACAATCTACTAATCCGTGCTGAACTCATGAGTTAAGCCATAATTTTATTCAAATCCTTCAGAATCCATTTTATTTTATTGTAAACACAAAAATGTATCATATTAAACTTTAAAGCCTTAAACACTTTTAATGTTATTACCATCACTTGCTAATACTAAATGTATTTACAATGATTTTTGGATTTAGTAAAAAATGTGTTGTAATGATAGCCCCCCTTTTGGAAAATGTTTAGCTCCCAGAGGCGTTTAATAGCAATTTTACAGTATTACATTTAAAGCAGTAGTTTAAGGCTACTTTCTTCTACTTTTATCTGGTATTGATTATTGAAACTTATGAATAAAAATGCCTGCTTGGAAGATAAAGAAAATCAATTTAAAATTTATTGCATACTTACTGTCATTCAGAATAAAAAACCCAGTGATATGGCTGGTGTAAAGTATAATTTATGTAGCTCTTGGTTTGTTTTACAAAACGATTTCTGTCATTATAGATATAATCAAAGTGTAAACATCACCATATGTTTGTATAGTATAAATGGGACAATTTGAAATGACATTTAAAAGACTCGTTATCTTGATTTTGTGTATTTGGCTATTTTGGTTGTTATCAAGGTAGTTAGATGCATTAAAGAAAAACGTAAATAATTTATAGCTCAAAACGTAAAAGCAACAGTCTACTGTAACTGTTTAAAACATTAATTGTTTTCTTAATATGTCTCATTTGATTTACAAAAGTTGTTGACCTACATTACATTAGTATGCGTAGTGACAGTTATCCTGATAAATATTAAACAGTTGTGAATCTTTTCCTCATGTGAAAGTACAAGATTACCCTTTTCACTTCCTGATTGGAAAATTTCCTATTTCGGAAATAAAACACGCTTTTTATTTTTAGCTCATCTGAGCTTGCTCAGGGTGAGCTTTTAAGATTGTTGAATGTCCATCATCCGCCCACATTTGTTTGTTAACACTAGCCGTCACATTTTTGCTTCAAATACCATCAAACTTTGTCAGAATGTTTGTCTAGGTAATTGTACGGATGAGTTTTAAAATGGGTCATCTCGGATGAAAAACGAGGTCACAGGAACTAAAAATAGAAAAATCTTGTTAACACTTTTGGTCACATTTTTGCCTCATTCAACACGAAACTTGGTCAGGATGCTTGTATAGATAATAGCTCAGATTACTTCGAACATAGGTCATATCGGATAAAAGAACTAGGTCACAGGAGCTAAAAATAAAAAAATCTTGTTAACACTCGAGTGGCCACTGTTTTGATCCAAATATCCTGGAAATTGGTCTGAAAGTTTGTTTTGATGATTTCTAGGTCAAGTTCAAATAAAGGTCACCGGGGTCAAAAACTAGGTCACACTGCTTAGATATGGGAAAACCTTGTTAATACTCTAGTGGTCACATTTTTTAATCAGTTGGATGGGTCAGGTGTGCGATCTAGGGCCATCTTGGCCCTCTTGTAAATTAAATAGAGGATAATTGTTTAGTTCAGTATAAGATGGGAATATATTTTACAGAATGAGCACCAAAAGGTATATTTCACAAGTGGCATTGCCTGAAAGTGTGATATTAACTTTTGGTGTTCATTATGATCTTACACTAAACTAAACAAATTTTCTTTTTATATATGCAAAGAAACGTTTAAAAAGACATTTTAACCTCATACTAGATGGAAAACATGCCAAATAATTTATCGTGACGTCATACGAGTATACCACGTTACGCCATTAACTTGGTTCCCAGTACTTTGCATGCTGGTATATCACTGAAACAACATAACAGGCTTAAATTCAAAACAGTGAAAATATCAAATTGAGTCAGTTTTATATTTCACTGTTATATTTCTATAAACCACCAAAAAGCATTGCCTTTATTACGCTACTGCGCCATGATTTATGTGATGAAGTCATTAACGAAATCCTTACATTAGTTTTATCAGTATTTGATTTCAGATTACCATTTATATGTTCAGATCCTATATAATCGTACAATGGTACAGTTGGGCCTATGTTCTTTCAGACAAGGGATGATCAAGGATGCTCATAATGCACTAGTAAATATCCAGAGTGGAGGTCGAGCTAAGGAACTTCTGGCACAGGTAAGTGACGCAAAAAAATCAGGGAAATTAACACAACATTCAGAAAAATTTGAGATTTCCCTTGAAAGAAAAATAAACTTGGCTCTAGCTCAATTTTAAAGCAGTCTGAAAAGGATGGCAACCAGAGCTTAAAGTAAAAATAGCGTTTTAGGAAGTCTCCCCCGAAAGGGTTATTGGCGAATTTTGATGATACCTAGTATCCATGGCTTGAAGTTAAATAGAATAATGATATTAAAATATTCTCTGCAATCAGTGTTGAGATTTGGAAGTATTTTAATGAACGTAGTGCACAAATTATGTATATATCATCACCCAATAGGGTTTGGGTTAGTCGAGCTATTATGATCACTGCATTGTCCTCGTTGTTGTGCAAAAACTTTAATAGTGCCCATTATTCAGAAATTCCAAAAGCTACCAACATGAAACTTGTAATACTTGCTTATCATCACAAAGTGCATTTGTCAGACAATGGGCATAATCCTGAAAGCAATTTTTTTGGAGTTGTGCCCCTTAGAACTTAGAATCTTTACTAGACAGGCGTTAACATCATATGCGTTGCTCTTGTATAGATTTGCAATAAAACAAAATAATCTAAATCTTGGGAAGTATGTTCTGATTTAATATTTTTGTGTGTTGGCCTTATAAAGTGTATTTTTCTTACATTCTTGTTTTAGAAAGCTTAATATTAAAACATTAATGGATAGAGCCTGTAAGAATTGACTTTTGATAAAATTTTATTTCTATTTCAAGGGTCTGCTTCAACAGCGTCAGCATGAGCGTACCCCTGAACAGGAAAAGATAGAGAAAAGACGTTTACTACCATACCATATGCACATTAATAAAGAGTTGCTAGAATGTGTGTATCTTGTATCCGCCATGTTGATGGAAATTCCTTATATGGCAGGTCAGTGATTCTTTACGCTTGTTCTTGTAAAATAGAGAGCTGAATATCTAAACCCTTGATCCACTGTTACAGAAATTGATAAGTCTTAGCCACCTGTATAAAGCCTTGCAATACTGTGGCGGCATGGCCTAGTGGTTTACCAGTCACACATGTAATCTGAGGATTGCTGGCCGCGTGGGTTCAAACACTGTCAGAGACAAGCTGTTATTTCCTTAAGCAAGAGCAAGAAACTTTACGTTCATTGCTAAGTAATTGTTAGTTGGAGCAACAGATTCGAGAGCGTTTCAATAAGCTTATAGCTTCCAACACAATCAAGTTAAAATAAATTTGTATAAACAATAAATTTATACTGTGCTGTCTGACCAGGCCCTTTGCTTTTGGCTGATTCACATTAAATTTTCATCTTGATGATATAAAACTGTTCCAGAAACAGAATGTTTGCAAGTCCATTTAAGATATTCTGCAATTTATTGGTTAATTATACTCCTAAGTGTAATTGATCATATAAACATTAACTCCTATTACAGACCACGAGATGGATGCTAGACGT